GCCTAAGAAAATAAAACGTTTTACTTTCTTATATGGATTTGCAAAATTTCATTAGCCTCAAAAATGACCTATCACGTTGGCGAAAAACATTTAATTCATAACTTTTTTGTGAGTATACTTTTCTGTCTGCTTTTTGTTCTGTCATATCCATTAAAAAATTGTCCTTAATCTTTCGTTTAAGACCATTAGTTTCCATTTTTAATATCTTGTAATTCCAGTTGTTTTGATATTTATTTTCCGTACAGTATTCTTCTGTCGTAGAATATCCTATTTTTCTAAATGCATTTTGATATTCAAGTTTCCTTTGCTTAGCTCCTCTGATGTTCCACCTGTATATGAACTTTTACAACTAATACAATCATGTTGAGAGATAACTTGTTTGTTTTCATTTTTCTCTTGATGTGTAGAATTTTAACATTGAATTGATTCTAGTTTGAGAGTTGCAACCAAATTTTCTCGTTTTCATAGGCAAATCTAATAGCATTTTGATCTTCTTTGCTAATAAACTAGAATAGTCATTATAGTAAGGTATTAAAGTATAAATGTTATCTCCATTAGTTGCTTGTTTTTGTTTAGTGTCATGGTTATATAATTCAAATCTTCTCAATGCTTTTCAAATTACATTCTGAAGACAATCATTTGCTAGAAATATTCTTTTACAATAATCTAATTCTTTTTTAAAATAAGAATTTAGATGAACACAATCTTACAGTTGTAGTACCCAGACATTCAATCAAATTAGTTTTTTATTGTTTTAGTTGATTACTAGTCCATTTCAAATATAACCCCGTATCAGTGAGTTTATGATAAACATATGTTATACTTATTTTTTCTTGTCTTTCTATCAAAACATTACGGAAAGGTTATTTATTATTCTGTTGTACCTCCACTAGAAACTTAATGGTTTTTTAAAAATTTTCAAAAATCTATTAAATTTGAGTACACGTTTCTGAGTGCCATTCATTAACATAAAAATATCATCAACATATATGTAATAAATGTCAGGTTTCTTTTCATTATATTTATCTATATTCTCTTGTAAATTACTCATAGACTGACCATCACCACTCTATTTACCTGATCATAATGTATTTTTGTTAAATGTGAAGTTAGAATGTTTTGTACAATAATAAAATAGTTCTTCAAGGTCTTTATTATTCATTTTTAATTATGGATTATAGTTTTTAATGTTTTCTATGCAGATTTTTAGAGCTTTATTTAACGTTATGTTAGAAAAAAATGAATATATATCAAATGAACACATTAATTCAGGTGTTGTTTTATATTATTTAATTTTCTCCAGAAGTACAAATGAATCTTTGATATGAGATTTACTGGAAGTTATAGCAAATGCTAATAATTTGGCTAAATATTTAGCTGTATTATAATTATATGAATTGAAACTACAGATACTTGGTCTTACAGGTTGATTCAGCTGGTGTATTTTAGTGAGCAAGTAAGCTTCTAATGTTTTGAATTCTGTACAATTCGCGATTTTCAATTTAAATTGGTGAAAAGTATTTTGAATACTTTTTGGTCATTAAGCAATTGATTTCTTTCATTAATAGTGTTCTCTATTTAAAATGGCAATTGCATTACCTTTATTGACTTTAGATATTATTATGATTTTATCAATTAACAAGTTAGAAATTGCATTTCTTTCTTCTTATGATAAATTAGTCATATCATATCTTAACTGTTTATTTAATTGACTAGGAAAATAATAAAACATGTTTTTGATCTTTAAAATTTTCTCATTAGATGTTAAAAATTTGTTATTATTCAAAATAAAATAAATGTAGTCTAGTTCACCTTTAATATTTAATGTACTAACTTTTTAAACTTTTACTGCTTATTTCCTTTGATTAGTTAATCAATCCTGCTCTGCTTTTGATAAATTACGATGTGAAATATTATAGACTAATTTTTTATTAAGTACATTATTATCAATAGGTCTATTCATTCTTATCAATTTATGATTTTGTCATATGGTTATTACTTTATATTCTTTCTTAATTAATTCATTTAAATTATGATTAATTCTAAGCCAAATGTATAAATTCACCTGGTTCCTTACAATTATTTCCTCTTGATTTATAGATAACTTGATCTTACTTAAATTTAAATGTTTTCTTTCATATAGATCTAATGCCACTTGTCTATCTATTTCTTAATATGCGTTTGTTTTGGCAATTTTTTTATCAAATGGTTTGAATATAATGAATTTTGGGACGACTTGATATAGGGAATATTTTCTTCAAAATGCTGCAGATTTCCCACTATGTATTAATTTGAGTTTACTTTTTTCCAACTTGCGACACAACTTCAACATTTGTCGACCGTACTTTTTCTGTATAGTATTAATTATAGAATCAGTATTTCTTGTTGTTCGTTAAATGCCTTTGATAATGCAATTTATTTTTTTATTCTCTATTTTAAATGTGCTTATTTCTTGATCTACTGTTTACAATCTATTATAACTTCTTTTCTGATTTTCTTATTTTGACTAATGATGTTAACAGTTGTTAATGAAACGTTTCAAAATTAAAAATGAAATGTATCATTCGATAATAATTTCTTTACTTTTTATTATTAAATGCATTTATCGAACAACAAGAAATGCTGGTTCTAAAGAAACTTATATTTCCTTAACATTGTTCTGCAAGATCTTCTCCGTCTGTAGCCACATATTCAGCTCTGAGTTAGTCGCCAAAACTATTCTCAATTCGTGACTCCTTATTATTCTGTATTTGTTATTTATAGAACTTCAAATTGCCGTTCTGAAAAATCTATCCATAAAGCTCTGATGAACATATTACCTTCACTTTTAATACGATTTGAAACCTCTTAGAAAAACTAACGAGACTTTCAACAGATTCTAAGATAATTCCATTACGAAAGCCCATTGTAATTCGTTTTTAGCGAACAATAAACTTGTTTTTCTTTCAATAGGTAGCGCTCCAAATAAAATGTCGGAAATTCAAAATTAAAGCAGAATTTATTCTTATATGGCTAGATAGAGCTTGAGGAGCTGACCAAGAATATCGGTTTTTTCATGTTTTGGAATGAGTTTTTAGGGGCAAATTTTCAATTTTTACGATCGCCTACTTTTTCCGAAAAAAGTATCGATATTTTTGTTTCCTTCAAATTTTAAAATTATTTGTTCCAGGTTCAGCATGAAAAATTGAATCTATAAAAACTATGAGGCTATTCAGATAAAACATGATCATTACATAGGTAGTTTTATCTATAAAGAGCTACAATTGACTTTCATATCTTATTGGAATCGCCAGTGGTTGTACTTCAAAAATATACCTAGGATTTTTTGAGATTCTACATTATTACTGAGAAAACTCTTTTTCTGGACCTTATCTCACCGCTTTGTCTAAATTTACCACTCTCGTACTCAAAACAAATATTTTATCGTTTAACTTTCGTTGGCCAATTTTTTGAATGTCTTGATGCTGATATGCCTATTCGACGTGTTTTCAAATCTTTCGTATATATTTGTTTATTGAAGACTTAAGAAAAACTAAAAATATTTATCTCATTTTTTTGTCTTTTTTTCTACTCTGTCTTGGATTAATAATATATGGAATGGGCTAATGAAAATTTCTTCACATGGTTCGCTGAAAATGACTGCAATAAACACGTAAGAAAAAATGTATGGTACAGACGAGTCTTTTACCATTTAATTATCCAGTCTATTTTTTTATCTAGTTTAGAAGAAGAAATTGATGGTTTATTTTTATTACATTTAAGTTGATCATCAATTCAAGAATTATTGTTGATCATACAGATGATAATATTAGTAAAAAACCAACCATTGGTGTAAAAACAACATTCGAAAAAAAACTGGAGAAATTGAGAGAGTGTTTTTTCAAGTAATAAGCAAGTGTTTATCCATTTGCTTTAACTGATCAGCGTTCCTTTCTTTTTTGTTTTAGTAGTTTAGTTATACAACAATTACACTTCAATGAATCAAATATTTTATCATTTTTCAATGATTTCAATATCGGTAATGTAAAATACGATGTCGAATAGCATCACGAACTCAAAGTATATCTACCAACTTCATATACGTCAACTCGATCATCTATATTGAATTCAAATTGTTTACAACTTACTGATGTACCACTTGACAAAATGATGCATCAACCATTGGACAATTCTTCAGCAAGCTGAACAACATTTCAATCGAAAAAAGTTCCATTGAATTATGTGCTATCAAGGTTTGATAAAGTTTTTGAAGAAGTTGCTGAAGATCCATTACCAACAGACTTTTGAGCATGATGCAGAAAGAAAGAACAAGTACTTAAAACAATTCGTCAGGATGTGGTCTATATTTGTGGTATCGATTTTTATTCAACAGCATTTGAATTCGGTCAAATGATGGTTAACGTCAAAAATAAATATCTAGCACTTGGTATACTACTAGTGAAGATATGATATGTTGGATGGAAGACCGAATTTTTTCTCATTTAGAGTTTTTTTAGCATGATCATTAAAACAACAAGTATTCACTTATTCATCTGAAGTATTGGTGAAAAAATGAAAATCATAGGATCATCGAATGTCAAGACTGACGTTGAAATTTTAAAGATTGGCTATACATTTAGTAGAGTAAAAGTCAAACTATTATGTTATATTCTCTGAATTTTTTTTTGCTCTTTTAAGAATGTTTTGTTGAATAAAAAGAACAATCAGAAAAATCGTTAATGCAATTATGTCAACAAGCCGATCAGATGCATGTTTTAATTAATACAACAAATTATGATTATGGTTAAGTAAAAGTTAAAATGGATATTATTTTCATTTGGTAGGTTTTTTCTCCTTATGTTAAAGAAAACAACATCAAAGGAAACATTCATGTTACAATCAGGTGTCGCTCGCTACAAAGATAGTTTTAACATTTTTCTGATTAGAAATTTACACGGACGAATAACAAATCACATCGAGAAAAACAACGCTTGTTTACTATAGAGAAACCCAATAAAACTATGGCAAATACAATTCAAGTAAATTTGTCTTTTACTACAAATTAAATTTGATTTTCATATACTTATGTAGGTGATTGAAGAGATATTGTTCTCCTATGATTTGCAACTATTTGTATTTGATATAGTTTTGGTATATAATAGAGAAAGTAACCTGAAGAAAACATTGGAGAAATTCACGGTGGTGTATTGAGGAGAAACATTCTATCAAACCGAAATAGTTTAGGCAAGAAAACATACAGTATTTGGTGATTATTATATTGATTCAATTGATGATGACGATGATCAAATTAATGGAAGTGATAGCGAAGAAGATGATAGTTCTTGTGATGATGATAAATTACTTGATAAAAGAACCATATCTGTTAGTTATATCTCTACAACACCAAGCCGAATCAATGTTCTCACTATTCTTGCTCAATTACTATTAGTTTCAAAACGTGTTTCAGTAACTATTATCCAGTACAAAGAGCTGGCGAAGTATACCAAAAAAAAATGTAAATCCAATATCAAGATTCTTTTGTTACTAACTTAGAGAAGATAGAAAATCTGAACGCTTTTAAAAAATTCTTACCAAATAGAGAACCTTTTCAATAGGTACTGTTTTAAGAACCTTTTAAGAGTCCTAGACTTTTCGACTAGAACTTTTTTTCTCTGAAAATTTTGGGCAAAAAGGTTATAATATGAAAGTCTAGACCCTCTAAAAGGTTTGATAAAATGATATCCATTGAGTAGGTTTTGTATGATGTCTGCTTTTTTTCTTTTTTCTTTTTATAGAAAACGGTTCTATAAAAAAACTAATTTTTTTTTAGGTCTTTAAATCCATTACTTGAAATATTTAATGAAAAAAGTTTGAACAAGGAAAGAATTAATATAATTAGATCATCTGTGCTAGATGAAATAATTGATTTTTTAAAACCATGGACTCATGTAATGAAACGTATTCAATCATTGCAAGTACCATCAATACATACGGTAACACCAAGTATATTTGTAATAAATTCCTCATTAGATATAAGCCAAGTGATTATAAACAAGAAAAAGGTCAATGATTACAATTTTCTTTATCTACTTTTGCTAAATAACTTTTTTTTTTACAGGTATAGATTTTTTCCGTCAACGAGAACAACAAGTGATCAAAGAATTGATTTCTTTCGATTCCATACATCTCATGAAAACTTTCTTCAATCCTAAGACACAAAAAAATGAAGCAGTTGTCAACAAAATAAAGAGAAGAATGTATTGAATACGTAAAAGAACTGTTGCTTTTTTATATTAATCAGCATGTTAAATCATCTTCAAACGAGATATCAGTTTCATTATCAACCAATGCTTTATTTCTAAATATGACAGATTTTTATTTAAATGTAGAATTTGATGACGAAGATCATGCTGATCAATACCGTTCGTCAAAATCTTCATCACCGATAATCCAAATTGGCTTGTATTTAAAGTATGGTGCAGATAAAGCACATCAATGACGAATTCTGGTCAAGAAGATGAAGGATATTGTCTATTATCATTTTCGAAGAAGACACATGCTTCTTATCCTATTTTGGTGACAGCTACTGCTCGTGTTTTAGCTGTACCAGCTGCCAGTGCAGCAGTTGAATGCGAGTTCAGCTTTACTGATAATACTATTACACAAAAGTGCTCAAAATTATCACCAGATTCAGTAAATGATATTGTTTTCAATCATTAACACTGTTACCTATGTACATCGTCAACGTCTTGTTCAAGAGGCGAAATCAAACAAAGAGATTGTTTGATTATATCCATCTTTATCAGTGATCGATTCAATCATTCTTAGAGCGTGTATTTTTTTGATCGACTAATAATTCATTGAAATGTTGCTGAGTTTGAGCAATTCGTTCAAAGAAGCTGACATAATCTCAATATCACATATACATTTATTTTATTTTTTTCATGAACAATTGATTCGTAAAATCAATCTTTGTTCTGATCCATTTACTGGAAGTAGTATTCAAGCATTAAAATCTTGTAAAACTGTGATTAAATCATGTGAGTAATGTATTGACTATTTTCAAGTTATTCTATAATTTACATCGCTCAATCTTATCCTTGTTTATTGTAGGAAACAATTAATGTATAAAATATTTAATACAAAATATCTAGGCAAGGTTCGAGAAATGTTAAAGGTGTTGAATGATTTTTCCTTGAACAAATGATTATTTGCCTTATCGTTGGCAGTTAAACCATTTTTAGATGGATATAAACTGAATAATCATGCACTATGAAGATACATTATTCTAGGTATTATGGTATGTAAGATAGAATTTCTCAAACTTATTAGTAGGTTGCGAATTGAATAGTCATAAAGTTGAAGTCGATTTTCCAATATTTCAAGAACACTTTAACAGCTAAATTCAATGCGAGATTCTAGTAAGGAGACATTTTTGCATAAACAGTTTTCAAAGGATATTTAAGACTAGAATTCTTCTAATTAATTCCATCAAAAATAGTATTTTTTTATGGCATATGATATCGAAAAAAAATCCGAAATATTGAAGAAAATTTAGTTAATTCAAAAAAAAAATGTCCGTAGGCGTTCATATGACAACCTTTGATACAAAACAAGCGTCTTATTTTTAGTAATAGATGGCTAATGCTTGAATTATACATTATTTGTCTTTGTTGATTATAGTTTGAAATGATAAGATAATGAGATAGATGATCATTAAAACTGTCAAGACGAATACAACTTATGTCAATCAAACGCACAATAGTAATACCTTGTGAGATAAGGAATGAGAAAGAAAAGAAAATATGTGACGATGCAAAATTTTTTTTTTGATATGCATGAGTATTGATGATATCAAAGGGCAAAAGAATATCGAGCTATTTTTATTATAATCGACTGTCGGTATTAGAGTGCGTGATCATTTGTGAAGGTTCTTATTAACTACAGAAAATAATGAACTTTCAAAAAAAAATGCATTTAACCATATCTATTCTCTAAAACTGAGAAATGTCACGAAAATATTTTTGTTCTTTGCATTGTCATATTCTACTCTCTAAATATAACAAAATGAGGTCATTTTTAAATAAACACAAAATAAAAAAAATACGACAACGAAATATAATATGTTTAGACAAATATAGTTTATTTTTACTCATACAATGACATACAAGGTCATATACAATAATACGAGATAGAGAGAGAAAGGAAAAGAAAAAATTGAAAAAGAATTATATTCTTGTCCTTGGGAGAATATAGGTTGTCTATATTGTGTTAAAGACGTTGATATAAGCTAATCATCAATGGTACAGTTCTTGCTAATACTAAGCTAGACGAAATTCAAAAAAAAAACATTGAAGAAGATATTTAGAGTGTAAAATCTTACCCTCACATAAAAGAGTATTCTAGGTTGCTTTTTTTGATAACATGATGCTCAGTGATTTCTAGATATATATGTTCGTATGTGTAATATAATGAATAAAGTATTCTTGTCGAACTTTTTTCAATATTGATTTATGTTATAAATAGAAAACTGGATGGCATCGTCAATAATCCTCGGGAAGTATTAATAAAGTACAAATGGTATATGAGTAAATGCTGCTGTGTCGCTGTTTATAGTTTGGCTGTTATCTCCTTACTATAAGTGTCCTTTTGATTATCAGTATTGCGTAAACTTCAAATATATCTAAAGATGAATTTACAGTATGATATAAATAAATAATTAATTTAAAGCTCACATGAATATTTTATTAAAATTAAGTTTTGATATATTCGTACTTCAAAATAGATAGGAAATGATTATGCATCAGTCTAAAAAAATTACATAAATAAGTATATGGATATAGCTTGTTCATATTTATGAAGAGATTTTTCATTTACTAGTTAGCTAATCATACTAATAAGAACAAGTAAAAATATTGTTTTCATTTTTTCTATTTGTCTACTTTATTTTAGATTAATAATATACAGAGTGGAGTATTGAAAATGTCTCCAGATGATTGGCTGATAATGATTTAGATAAATACGTTGACAAATTTTAATCTATCGGCAAATCACTTACTATTTTACTATTCAGTCTATTTTTCATTCATTTCAGAAGACGAAATTCGTGATGTATTACTATAGCATTTAAGTTCATTATCAATTTTTAAGGAAAATAAAGTTTTTCAAGTAATAAGTAAATATTTGTTCATTTGCTTTAGTTGATTAACTTTGTTTTCTTTTCTGTTTTAGTAGAGCTGTGGTATTAAACAAAAAATATTCGATACATTCAAACTATAATTGCACTTCCATGAATCAAATAATTTATCGTTTTTCAATATTAATAGTGTACACCACTACAGAGAACAGCAGCACCAATTTAAAATATCTCTACGAAGTCCATATACATCAACTCAATCGCTGATGGATCATTATTGAGTTCAAATGATTAACAACTTACTGATGCACCATTTGTCCAATGGCCTATCAACCATTAGATAATTCTTCAACAACTTCAACAACATTTCAATCAAGAAAAAAATTTTCATTACATTATGTGCTTCTAAGGTTTGATAAAGCTTTTCAAGAAGCTGTTCGAGATCTATCAGCAGCAAACTTTGGAGTACGATGATAAAATAAATAATAATACTTATAAAATAATCCATCATAATGCAGTCAATATTTATGGGATTGATTTCTATCCAACGTCGTTTGAATTTGATCGAATCATAGTTGCCATCAAAAAAACATATGCAGCATTTAGTAAAATATTCAATAAACATATGGTATGCTTAATACAAGATCGAATACATTTTCATCTTCACTTTATTTTTTTGTCTCGTTTAGATATTTTTAGCATCAGTATTAAGACAGGAATTTTCTCGTGGTCGACAAGTATACCGTTATTCGTCTGAGACATTCATAAACAAACAACAATCATATGATCATCAAATGTCAGGACAAAAATTGAAATATGAGAAGATTAACCAAGTATTTCGTCGAGTATAAATCAAACTATTGTTTTACATATATTCTCTGATCTTTTTGTGTTTTTTAGGAATGTTTGGTTTTAGAAAAGGAACAATGAGAACAGTCTTTAATGCAATTATGTCAACAAGTCGAATCAATGTATGTGTTAATCAATACAACAAGTAATAATGATAGTCCAGTTAAAATTGAAATGGATATTACGTATGTACATCATCAATGTATCATTTAAGAGATGAAGTCAATCAAAGGAATCATCGACCCTTGTCTAGTTTTATTAGTAACCAATTGGTAAGTTCCAGAGTATTTTTCGTTTTGTTTGATTATAATAACTCGTTGAAATATTGCTGAGTTTGAACAATCCGTTCAAATAAGCTTGCATAATCTCAAAATCACATATGAATTTATTTTTATTATTTTTTTCTATTACTAGCTCATTCCTAAAATCAAATCAAACTCCATTATGGTTTATTTGGTGAAGATATAGTTCAAGCATTACAATCTAGCTGTACAAAATTATTCAGATTCATGAATTAAAAATATATAATTCTGAAGGTAATACATTATGTTAATCTATATATAGTATTTTCTTTCCAAAAACTGTTTTTAAATAACGCTAGCAATTTATAACCATTTAAATTATTGTATAATTCTCATCACTTATTTTTATTATTGTTTATTTTAGGAAGCAATTGAAACTTATCCGATCATCCAGATAAAATCGATTAACAATATTAAAAATTAATCTTTGTGTAATTTTTTTCTCAGTTCTTTTAAAATAAACTATTTGTTAATTCCATTAATAGTAGTTCTAGAAGTTTTTTTTTCCACCGGATTGTAACTACTTCTATTTGTTTTAGACGGTGCATAAAATGAATAAAATAAACTCAATTGTATAATGAAAATTGATTTTTCAGTTTTTTAAAAATGTTCTTATTACGAGAAATCCTTCAAAACCATCAATTCATAAAATCTAACGAAGGAATAAAATACCTGAACATATAGTGAGATATACTTGTGTTAAAAGATGTTATTCTAAGATGCACACTAAATTACTTTCGTTATTATTGATTTTTATCATGCTTTTCGATTTTCTCTCTTTGTTTTTCTTCTCTCTGTTATTGTTGTTGTTGTTGCTATTTTTGTGATTATTAGGACTTAATGATGGTTATACCTTTGAGCGAGAAAGGGTCGTCAGTGAAATTTTAATATTTTGTCGATTCTGCGCCATGATTATAAAAGAAAAAAAGGTATCACATGATATAGGGCGTATTGTGGCGAACATTCATCTGACCGTTCATCGTCGTCGAGTAATCTATGTGAACAACGTGAGACAGAACAAGCAAAACGACTGTAATATTTGTATGAAACAAACGCAATACGTGATCTATATTTTATGCTCGATCAATCCAAATATAGACATTTACACTCAAAAATCAAATGTATTTCGCGATATATATATAGATAGCCTATTGCTTTATTCTCACTCAAAAAACAACGTCGAGAAAATTAAATCGTTATTCCTATATTGGAGAGAAAATATTCCAGACGAATTTAACAAGTAAGTGTATGTTTTTTGAAAATGCAGTGTATTTCAGTAATATATTGCCTTAGTCTTGAAAGTTTCTGACGCCTTTATTAAACTATCATCTAAGAAAATGGTCGTTTGTCGTTTCATATTTGAATGTTTCATTCTTGATTTTTTGAGCTCCAACTTCCATCATATATACCAAATTTCTTAGGTCTGACGCTCG